TAATCTTATACTTTATCCTATACTTCATCTTATACTTACTTCATCTTATACTTTCGTATACTTCATCTTATAATTACTCGTATACTTCATCTTATACTTACTCATACTTATACTTCATCTTGTACTTTGTCTTATACTCCATCTTATACTCCATTGTATACTTCATCTTATACTTACTCTTATACGTACTCCTATAGTAATCTTCTACTCGTACTCCTCTACCATTATTATTCAAGATTCTGCAATTAAAGCCATCAAACGGGAAAAGTATAAATTAAGAAATTCTGCTAATAAGAATTAAATTTGATGAAACTTTTCTATATTCTATCGATATTTAATTGAATTTGTTGAAGCATGAGATTCATATAAAAAGTCACATTTTCTTTTGGGATACACTATGTGTGGTAGGATAATCCCTATCAGCCTATATATAAACCCAACTGTATAATAATAATCGAAGTTCGATCATTCCAAAGGGCGTATCGAGAGATTCGTCTCTAGTGGTGTTCGAAAAACAAATATCTGATAGTACAAATCTCTTGTCATCCGCCCAGGTATTCAAACTCTCCCTTCATCGTATGCAGGATGATCATTCCAGAGGCCTTCAGTTCTTGACGCACTCTTAGTCACAATGTTTTGTTTCCTTGGTAAACCATTACTAAAAACAACCAACCAAGAGGGAGGGGCGGCCAAAGCCAACTGCACTTTATCTCCAGCTGTGCTGCACTCGTTCTGGTACTCGTATTCGCACTCGTATTACGTATTACGATGCACCGAAAGTACTACCCCGTATGTATTATTTTCTGTCGTATTCATAAAATTTTATGAGCTGAAAAAAACGTGTGTGTTCCCCGCTGCTGCTGTCGTTCAAAAACAGTTGTGTAAATATAATAAAAGCCAAAAGAAAAGTCAATGAAAACCAGCGGCTTATTGAAGATATTAAATATATTTCTATAAATATTTAAGTGCCGCCATCCACAGTGGATCCTTTGTTATTGTTTTGGGATCAGAGGCACGATGGCACAGTTTTCACAAGGCAATTGGCAACTGTTTTGGCTCTGTCTTTGGCTCTGTCTTTGGCTCTGTCTTTGGCTCTGTCTCTGGCTCTGTCTCTGAGGCTTGGATGGCCAGAAAGGATGATTCTGTTCGGTACGCATTGGAAATTGTTCAGTGAGCCGCTAAACATGCCAAACAATTGCTGAGAGTCGCAAATTGAATAGATATGAGACTCGACATGAATTTGTGTGTAGTTTTCGATGCTTATGGCAGATAAAGAAATCTGGCAGCGGGCATTCCACAAACCCCTCCGCCCCCCACACGTAAAAATTCTGTTGCCAAAGCCGAATGCGCGATTGTCAGTTCTGGGGGCTCTCGCGGGCTGTCTGTCTGTGCATATCCTTGAAATAACAAGTTTAAAGGCATGCGCCATATCCTCATGCAAGGATATCTGAGTCCCTATATGGCTGCCCTCCTCCTGCCTCAATGGAGAGACGGAGAGAGGGAGACACTGCTGGGCGGCGCTGATTGAGGGATTGAGCGTAAAAATCGAAAACAGCGGCGGCAATTTTCACGTTTTTCACGCATGCCACTTTTGCTTTTCCTCCCCAGCCCCCCTCAGCCCCTCTTTTTAATACTCTCTCCTTTCGGTGTGTGCCCCAAACGATGCTCTGCTTTTAAGCATTCATGTGGCACATATCTGAAGAGATTACCCATCATATCAAAGGAAAATCGTTCCAACAGAGGGGAATCCCTACAATTGGAGATTAGTTTTTGCAGGCCATGGAAACGCATGGAACGCAGAACTTTAAGGCCTTGAAGTGGGATTTCCATTTAGAAGGGAACTATGGCTACTATTTATGATCGGAAATAGTCCTACAGGAAAAAAAAACCCATTAGAAACATTCCAAGAAAAAATACAGGGACTACAAAATCTGAGAACTACTTGGAATTCACCTTTTCTGATGAATTTTCTTCAAGAAATAATTATAATAAAACTACAGCATTTTTGAGGTATATTGAAACATTTGAAAAAGAAGGAAGAAGGCATTACATGTATCTTAACCCGCCAGCTCTCCCTCAGTGAGACTCGTCGTCCCTCCTTCCAGGCCCACCTTGGATGGTATATCATGGTGTCCAGACCCGTGTGCCTCGTTTTCGACTCATTTGTCGAACATTTAGCCGCATTCAGAAGGGATTCTCTTCGCGAAAGCAGAGCTTTCTGGGGGAAATGTTTCAGTATTTGAATGTCTCTTGAATTTCTCGAATTTTCTACAATTTATTTTCCTTCTTCTCGCTTTTCAGGTGGGGGTTTTCCAAGCAACTGACTCCACGGCCCCTGACCAGAGCAAACACTATTCGTAGTTGACTTTTTTTTGCCACTGCAGTATTTTTGTATTCTTTGTTTATTTTCTGGCGTGTTTTTCTTTTTATTGGAAAACAAAAATTACATTTCGTTACCGTTCGGTTTTCTCGATGGTTTTTCCGGGTGGGGGGCGGGGTTTTTCCCCGGGTGCAAGTGCGGGTGTGGATTGGGATTGGGGATGTGCGGTATTCGAATATTGACAGACAATATTTTTGTGCGACTACAAGGGGGGGGGGGGGGGGGGGGGGGGGGGTGGGGGTGGAGGTGGAGGTAGCATATTTTTTTGGGGCTCTCCACTCGCGCGCATCCTGTGTCCTGTGTCTGCGTCCTGTCGGTGTCGATGTCGGTGCCTGTGCCTCTGTCTGTGTCTGTGCGGATGATGCACGTTGTAAAACTACAGTCAACGTTGGAGGAGCATGAAATCAATTTGATGCACGCTGCTTGGTTAAGCGTTTTCAATGCAATTTTTATTGGCAACTGTTTCGCTGACGCCCCTCTCCCTCTCCCCCTTGCCTGCAGCACCCAGTTTTTGCCACAGTTTTTCCTCCCTCCCCCCTCCACCCCCCACGACACATACTCTCTCAGATGTTGCCAGCAAATGAAATAAAATCAAAGTATCCTTGCAATTGCGTCAATTGTGTGTGTGTGTGTGTGTGTGTTCCTCCCTCCATCTTGCCACATGGCTCGTTCCTGCCACCTCCTTAGCAACGACGCGGCAGCGACTTGCAGCGACTTAATTTCAAAAGCTGTTACGGCAATCAACGCAGCTGCCAGGAGGACGAAAAGGACGAGAAGTAGGATACCCCCAGATAGTAGATGGGCTTTCAATAACGTGAGAGGGGGAGGAGGAGGGTGGAGGGTGGAGGACGGCGGTGCGAAAAGAGCTTTAAATTTAGTCTGCGCCTCTCTCTGTGTGTCCTTTATTGATCGGATTGCATTTAATTGGAACATTTTATTAGTCCATAGATTCAGGGAGGACTCCCCCCCCCCCCCCTCTGAGAAGCAGGAATTTCAAAAAGGACCAAGGGGGGAGATTTTAAACCCGTAAACTTTATGGGCAGCAAAATTTTATTTATGTACTTTTCGAAGGTGTTTTAATCGTGGAAAATGCTGAAAAATTTATTATTTAGATATAAACAGCTTATTACGTACAGCCAGGGGCAAAGCACAGCTTATTTCGTGCAGATAAAAAGGATTGAAATGAATACCCAGCAACGAGTCACATACGAGTCAAATGCGAGACTTAACCGGACAAAACGCTCGCATTCGGACCCGCAAAGGATAGAAATACGATACTTGTGTCTTTCAGTTTGTGGCAGTGAAAGTATCATTTATGAAAGCTCGCAAAGGAATTGTTTGCGAGCCTTTTGCGACATCCTTTGCGAGCCTTTTGCGAGACTTTTGCGATATCGTTAGCGAGACTTTTGAGAGCCTTTTGCGAGCCTTTTGCGAGCATTTGGCGGAACTCTCGCAAAAGGCATGTTTGTTGGTTGGCTGGGCAAATACACCCCTGCACATATACACAGCTAGTTTCGTACACCTCCACACACAGCTAATTACGTACATATCTACACCCAGCTAATTTCATACAGACAGCTTATTACGTACACACACCCAGCCTATTACATACAACCGTTTGGGATGCCTGCTGATCGGAAGCCTGCAGTGGCATATGCCTGCATTATAGCGGTATTTGTTGGATCCTTAACCCATTGTTTGCCCTGCTGATCCTTAACCCCACACACACACACACACACCCATACATATGTACAACCAATTTGTGCCCCCCACTTCTCCTTTTGTGCCGCATGCCAATTGTTTGAGGTTTCCCGCCTTACCAGGTGTCCATCAATCAAAAGGAGAATGCAATGCCGCCCATCCCCCTGTGGGGGCATATTACTATCCCTCTCTAGCTGTCAAGCAATCCATCCATCCATTGGCGCTCTCTTTCTCTCTCTCCTTCCCTTTTCTCCATTGAGCCATCGCGCTGCCAATTTTCAAATCAAGCAATTTCGCTTTTGAGTAAAATATATATCCATGGCACTATATCAAGCGTCAAACCCAACGAACCGCAGCCTGAACAAAGATATTTCCCCCCCACCACCTTCTCACTCCCCCTCCCTCCACCCCTGTGCTAGCCCTTGCTTTTCTTTTAAGGTCAAATGACAGTTGTAGTTGTAGTTTGAGGTTCAGGCAGGCACTTTGTCCTTGCTTCCTTCCTTCCATCCCATTCACCAGGTGTAAATTATAACGCCCTGCTGCCAGTAGCAGATCCCCAGCTGCCACGCCCCCTCTATATAGAGGAGCACGCCGTACGCCCCTGTTGTTTTTGGCTAGGTAAAAAGCCATCCAGAACGTCACACAAAAAATGACACTTAGCGACACCATGATGCTGATTTATGGCTTAGGCAATGAGAATTTATTGACTTGGCAGCGGGTCAACGGCGACATTTGAACCCCCGTGTAATGCCAGGTATAACCACATGCCCCTCCCACACCCACTCCCTTTCTCTCCCTTGAGAGGAAGAACATTATAACTGATTTAGTGGCCAAGAAGGAAACCTTTAAAGGGGATAATCGGAAGATGTAAGGGTTCGCGAATGCTTTAAGGCATTGAAGGTCTAAGAGGCTTCCCCTGTTTCAATCAATGCACTTTCTTGTCTTGTATTTCTTTATAAAATATATAAACTACACAATAGTCTGGTCATTTGCGGCAACAAATCAGTCGGATGGCACACACTCGCTCGCCGAGCTGTTGAACACGTCCGCGCCAGAGGCTGGCCTGCGGATAAGCGGAACTCCCTCGCATTCTCCTCCACTCCAAGCTGGCCTGCAGATCCCCAAGGGGCAGATACTTTAAAGGATGGAGGATTCTTTGCCGGACTAAAGATACTTACATTCAAAACGTTTTGAGCATCCAGTTTCTCGTTCAGCCCACGATCGCGCCCCAGGATCATGTCGTTGTAGATGGGACAAGCATTGCCATCGTCTAGGGTGAGGTCCTCGATCACGTGCCCCCGCTTGAAGGCAGGTCCTTCGTTAGAGGGAGAGTTAAAATGTTAAACTAGATGTGTAGTGTGTTGTGGGTAGTGCTCGTCTGTGTGTGATTCTGAAATCCAAACGAGTATCTCGTCTGACACTTCAGGCAGTGACTGCTTTTCCCCTTGAGGTATGTTTTCGAGTACATAGTGGGAAAAAACCCAAATATATTATACGACATAGTGGGCTATATTTTATGTGATTTTTCTAGTATTAATCTAGTATTCTTATGAGCATGTCTAGTACTTTTGGTATTTTTTCTACAATTATTCTGGTATCATTTCTTGTATTGTTTTGGGTTTTAAAATGTTTATATTTTTTCTAGTATTTTTTGGTATATTTTTAGTATTTTTCTGGTATTTCTGTAGAATTTTGTGCTTATGCCAACTGCAGTTTGTCTTCAGCCTTGTTTCTGCCGCTTTAAGGAAGTACTGCTTGAAGTGCCTATAAAAATGTAAAACTTTCCAAAAGTCACTGCACAAAATGGTAAATTTTGCTATTTATATTTTTGGGCCTCTCTCTCTCTCTCTACCCCCGCAAAGCAACAATAAGAAAGAGAGCTACAAAGAAAGAAAGCGAAATGGAAATGATTTGCAAGAACCTTTCGTTTCGCTGTCCGTCCGTTTCGCCCTCCGTTCCTCTTTGGCGACACTTTCCTTCTCCCTTGCTCCGCTCGAAACGTGACAAAATTAAACCAATAAAATGGATGAAATACAAGCAAAAGGAATCCGGGGGAAAGAAGAAAAGCGAAGTCGAAGAAAACTAAGGGGAAAACGATGGGGAAAATCAGGGAATAATTGCAGGCGGGGAAGGGAATGTGAGAGTGAGAGAAAGTAAGGGAAAAGTAGGGATACCCTTTGAAGAGAAAGAAGAAAACCAGCTCCCTCTCACAGTGTGGCTTAGCACCGCCGCCTGATTCGCGGCTGAGGCTGGAAAATGGTCAATGGCTGTGTGTTGCAGTGACTGGAAGGAAGGCTAATATTTACCGGTACAATTTTCTGGAATATCTTGAAGATGGTTTGGCCCAGGGGTCACTTGTGGGCCAGCGTGCAGCTCCACAAAACTTGTGATCCGTGAAGTCGTAGGGCTGCGCGATGGCCATCATCAAGGATCAAGCGAGGATGCGTTTCACTAGCCTCTGCCCCCACCGAAGACCCCTTTTCCTTCAGTTATGCGCCCCCGAATGATAGCCTTTGATTTGGACAGTAATTTATAATAAAAATAATTTATATTTTGACAATAATTTGTATGACTTTAGATGCAAAGAAAAGTCTACTTTCCCATAAAGCAAATCCCTTGAGAAATGCCACATACCCCGCAGAAGAGAAGGAGCCACAGTGGGCAGGAGGCAGGAGGCAGTGAGGCACGGAGGCAGCAGGCATGAGGCAGCGAGGCACGGAGGCAGCTGTACAATAAGTGTAGCATAGTTTTCTGCGTGGCAGCATTCCGGCTACCTTTCGCTTTTCTTTTCGTGGCACACCGTAATGCTCCAGATACCCCCGCCCCCCGCCCGTTCCCCTGCCCCTGCCACCTCGCGTTGAAGCGGCAGCCTTCGCCTTGGCACACATTTTGTGGAACACATCTCTCTCGGCCCACTCCGCCGTCATTGTTTGCCTGGGCGGCCGTGTGTATGATGTGGAAATTAAATACTTTGCTTGAAATGCTACACGCTGACGGAATGAAGCAGGGGGAGGGGCACGGGCAGGGGCAGGGGCAGGAGCAGGGACAGTAGCAGGAGCTGTAGGGCAGGGGGGGGGGGCTGGGCGACTGACAGACGGAAGACGGGCCCTGACAGGCAGCGAGGCAGCAACTTGTTAGCGATGCTCCCCCCCTGCAACACCCCATCCCCCCTGCCCGCCCTTTGGCTGTTGTTGCCTCGTTTTCGCTTTTCCCTTTCGCATTTCGCTTTTCGTTTAAATTGTGCAACATTTCCGAGATGCAAAGATGCCGCCGCCTGCCTTTGCCTTTGCCTTTGCCTCTTCGTCGAGTAATTAAAATGCAAAGCAAAGTGCAGCAATTTGAGCCTAATTATAATGGCAACAGCAGCAGCAGCGGACAGGAGCGACAGGGAAATCAACAAACAAACAACTAAATGGGGGACAAACAGCAAAATGGTTAGCCCCAACGTGCACCGGCCAATATCGTGGCACATTTCAACGCAACATTTCCCAGAGATGCCAGACATTGAGACTTTCTTAACGTTTTCAATTTCCGCCTCAAAGCCGCAATGGGCGAAAGAGAGAGAGCAGGAAAGAGAGAGGGGAGAGAGAGAGAGAGAGAGTAAAGTGTGGCAATTGAAAATTGAATGTCACTCGGCGTGGACATGGCCACAGACCCCAAAAAACATCCTAAAAGCTTAGACTTCGAGCCGCTGAATGCACTGAGAGAATAATTATGGAGCCTACGATATATTTCGTTACACATCGATAGCCATTAAACGTGAAATATTATTTTGATCAAAATATTCTAAATTGAACTTTAAATAATTATTTAAAAATTAATTATAAATATAAATAATTCTAATTTATAATATTTTTATTAAAATTCTATTATTATTCCATTGTACTATAAATAAATCTACGGAATATGTACATAGAAAACAATTTAAATTGAACTTAAAATATTTGAATAATTAATTATAAGTAAATAGATAATTATATTATTATTCCATTGTATTATAGTTCAATACCTAAGTTTTCTCCAGGTGTCAACCCCAGTCGGATTATATAGATTTATCCACTCCCAAATTTAGGTTTAGCACAGCTGCAGTTCATGGGTCAAAGTATCTCTCAAATGCAGTTGATTAAAAATATTTTCCAACTCAAAAATGTCAATAATTTTCGCTGCTTTCGCACATGCAAATACACTGGGAAAAATAGCTCGAAAAAAACCCGAAAATGAGTGAAAACACCACAAATATGCGGTGAGTGAAATATATTTTTGGTGGATAAATATTTAATGTGTCATGAAATGCGCGGCAGAGAACATTCCAGAAGGGAAGACAGAGGAGTTTTGTCAAAATAAATACCAAAAAAATGCCATTCGAAAGGCCACAAATATCTGGAATATTTAGGGAATATTTAAGGGCTTATGAATGAATATCTCGAATATTTAGGGAATATTTAAGGGCGTACGCTAAAAGTTGCTCTAAACGTAGGATATTTCCATCATTGGATACTCCAAAAAGTCTTGAAATGCATCATTCATTTCACACTCACTCTCTCTATACCCCTCTCTCTCTTTCTTTCTCTAACTGAATGAATGAATGACTGACTGACTGACTGGCCGATGGAACAGGTGCTAAAACCCAAATGCCAAAAGTTTATTTGATACTTTCTGCCCCACCCGAAACAATTCTGTTGTTTCCCTTTCACTCTTTCTCTCTCTATCTCTATCTCCCTCTCCCCCCTCTCTCTCTCTCCTGCTGAAGAAACTTTCGACTTGTTGCACAGTTGTAGCCAAGGACTTGCGTGTTATTTTTCCCTGCCAAAACCTTAATTAATTGTCTCTCTGCCATAAATGTATATATATTTTTTTGTCCAACCACAAAAATATCTTCAAGGAAGACCCGGGAGGAGGAGCAAACTCTGAGATATAATTAAGTATGCGCCCTGTTGCCCTTTGAGGCAGCGTCGCGACCGAACGCCCACTCAAACGCCCAAAAGTTTGTTGTTTTTTGGTTGCTTACACACTTTCCCCTCAACATTTTTGTTGTTGTTGTTCTCTTTGCCGCTTTGCTTTTGTTGTTTTTTCCGTTGTATTTTGTTTTATTTTCAAGTTTTAATTTACGCATTTTCGTGGCAATCAAGCGTAATTGCAGCAGCAGTGGGGTTTCTCTGGTTTCTCTGGTTTCTCTGGTTATTTATTCGCTTGAAAAATGTGCCCTCGCTGGACGGAGGAGAACAGGAAAACTTTGGCTAATTTGCATGGAATGGATGTGGCGGCAGGACAGGGGTTTTCCTTGAGTTTTCTTTTGTTTTTAATTTTTTATCTGGTTTTGCTTGGCGTTTTTTTTTATCTCTTTCGCTATTTTAAAATCGGACAGGCAGGCAGGCAGGACCTGTTGCTACTTACAAAACGTCTGGCAAATAAGTAGAACACACACACACACACCCTGCCACACACACACACTGCCACACACACATAGGAGGCACCTCAGAGTGGCACATTATAAAGGACATGCAGGGAAAAAAGCTTGCTGTGGCACAGTTCCTTCTTGCCACACAATTCTCTTAAGGAGCCAAAAGCCTTAAGAGTTTATTTCTGTTGGCAAAATATTTTAGTTTTTGTTTAGATCTGGATGGAATATTTGGAGTGTTTTCTCGCTTGAAGCCTTTAAAATTTAAACCATTTTGAGTTCTCTTAAAAGCTCCACACCCCAAGAGAGCTTACCATCCACAAGGCTACTCTTTGCTCAAGGCTTTCGCTCTCTTAATGCTGCCCCTTCATTCAGCAAAGAGCCAAAGCTTTGTGGATGGTAAAGCTCTTGCGATAAGGAACAGCTGTTTGTTTCAAGGGAGAGCTTTTAAATTTTGAACACGAACGGTGGGTGGGCGGAATTATTTTCAAGTGGCAGATTGATTTAAGTGGGCAAAACGGTTTTCATTTCATTGCTTTGTAGAGCAGAAATTTGTTTCCATAATTGGATACATTTTGATGTAAAATAATTTGAAAATTGAATAAAGGCTTATACAAAGTGCATGAAATGTATAAAATATCTTTTGTAGTAATGATTTAATGGTTTAAAAGTCCTTTAAGGGTTTTAAAGACACCTTGAAGGTACTAGTGGGCTTAAAATTGATTGATTGACGATTTTCATGGCAGCGCAAGGATAATTTGGTTAGGATTTGCCTCTGCGAGCAACCATTCAACAAGTTATACGATTCCACCACCACTTCCACTCTTTTATCTGTCAAAATCAACTCTTTTTCACCCAATAAACTTTTCTTGTCTTTTATTTCTTTATAAAATATATAAAACTACACAATAGTCTGGTCATTTGCGGCAACAAATCAGTCGGATGGCACACACTCGCTCGCCGAGCTGTTGAACACGTCCGCGCCAGAGGCTGGCCTGCGGATAAGCGAAACTCCCACGCATTCTCCTCCACTCCAAGCTGGCCTGCAGATCCCCAGGGGGCAGATACTTTAGAGGATGGATGATTCTTTGCCGGACTAAAGATACTTACATTCAAAACGTTTTGAGCATCCAGTTTCTCGTTCAGCCCACGATCGCGCCCCAGGATCATGTCGTTGTAGATGGGACAATCATTGCCATCGTCTAGGGTGAGGTCCTCGATCACGTGCCCCCGCTTGAAGGCAGGTCCTTCGTTAGAGGGAGAGGTAAAATGTTAAACTAGATGTGTAGTGTGTTGTGGGGTAGTGGGTAGTGCTGTGTGTGATTCTGAAATCCAAACGAGTATCTCGTCTGACACTTTAGGCAGTGACTGCTTTTCTCCATGAGGTATGTTTTGGAGTACATAGTAGGAAAAAAACCAAAAATATTATACGACAAAGTGGGCCATATTTTATGTGATTTTTCTAGTATTAATCTAGTATTCTTATGAGTGGGTCTAGTACATTTGGTATTTTTCCAACAATAATTCTGGTAGAAAAGAAAGGTGAAAAATCTTATAAAATGAACATGTTGTGTTTCTACCACAAGGAAGAAAATTCTGGTATAACCATGAAAAGTCGTAGCATTTTCCCACAAATTATTGCCTACGAACGATGTTTCCTATGAGAGACACTAGATCGTTTCAGTACCAGTACAAGTACAGTGTCTTCCTTCCGGCTGTTCCATTTCTTATTCCATTTCTACGCGTTTTAGAGTCACTGAACCATTCCATATTCCGAATTGAATTAAAACACAATAAGAAAAGAGATTCCCTTAAGCTAATTTGTACATTTTTACAGCCTTCTACCGATATTCCTTTTGCTATATTTCCACTTTTAAACGTAGATTTCTTTACCCTTTTTTGAATTTACTTTTTCCTTTTCAATCCTTTTCAATTGTTGCTCCTTTCACTTGAGGAAACATCTGCTACAAGAAAAACTACAAGCGATGTTGCACGAAGCAACTTTTGTGTTGTATATTTTTCAGGATATTTGTTTATTTCCACCTCCAAGAAAGAGCTCTCTCTCTCTCTCTCTCTCTCTTGCAGTCTC